GTTACGAACAGCTTCATTCGCAAAAAGTTACTTTGACCTGCGAACGGAGCCTCAACTTACAAACCAAAAAGAAAAAGAAAAAGAAAAAGAACCTTTCCTGCCCTTTTTTAAACCTAAGCTTACCTTAGGTCAAAAGAAGAGGAAAAATAAAAAAAATTCACCCCCTAGTGGTAGAGTACAGATTAACTGGCTTTGCATTAGTTCCTATGGGAAGTAATGCCTCTACCTACGAACAGTGTGTGGTTTTCAACATGCGAACAAAAACCAGCAGATACAGATTAAATGGCTTTCAATGCATTCCTATGGAAAAGTTTGCCTCGACTATGGACTTTTCAACATACGAATGCCATTCCAATATGGATTAAGTTCGTAAGTCAAGGTACCATTGTAGTTCCACTGGAATGCCATCACCTCCACTGGCCTTGTTGTTAGCCATGCTTTCTAAGGCCCACTTGGCTTTACTCTCCAGGACGTCTGGCTCAAGGTTAGCAACCACACTCTCTGGGTTGCCCAGGACATCCAGATCTTTCTAGTATAATTCCTCTGTGTATTCTTGCCATCTCTTCTTGATGTCTTCTGCTTCTGATAAGTCCCTACAATTTTTGTGCTTTATAATGTCCATCTTTGCACAAAATGTTCCTTTAATATCTCCAATTTTCTTGAACAGATTTCTGTTTTTTTCCCCTTTCTATTCTTTTCCTCTATTTCTTTGCACTGTTCATTTAAGAAGGCTCTCTTGTCTCTCCTTGCTATTCTTTGGAAGTCTGCATTCAGTTTTCTGTAACTTTCCCTATCTCCCTTGCATTTTGTTTCCCTTCTCTTCTCTGCTATTTGTAAGGGCTCGTTGGACAGCCACTTTGCTTTCTTGCATTCTTGCACCATCCTTGATGGTGCTTCCCCCCATTTTGCTTCCAATTCGACCAAAAATCTGTGCTGTGATTCTCAAATATGCTCCTTTTTTAACATTGTGCGAAATCCAACATCCACACTAAATAGAAACAACCAATGAATGTTTGCTCTTAGTGACAACCTTCTACAATCAACTGTAACTCACGCTGGGTTATTCTATCTCCTCTCCTGATCAGACAAAACTCAGGTAACATTGTAGAAGATAGTGAGCCAGTATTCCATCAGAGATGACTGGGTGAAAACTAATTGCATGGTACCAATTCCCTCAGGTTCAAGTTGTAACAACACTACATCATGATTCTGCTTTTCCATCACTCTGATTTGACCAATAACTCCTGTAGCCACTGAAGCAGCAAGCCAGATCTATGTACTTCAGATTTGATAACTGAGTACTTACCAAACCCCCCAATCCTGTACATAGAAAGTGAATATATTGGAGGAATTGTGCTGACATAGACTTGCTCATGATATGCTAGTTTTCCCTTGGTAGGGATTTTGATATTGAATGAGTTATATTCCATCATAGAAAGCTCCCACTGCATCTTGAACAGTCACAGCCGAAGTACAAGAAATTAAGGGTTTGTGGGTAAAACCATTGTCCATTTCATCTGTGTCAGATCGGCTGGAAACTGTCTCAAGGGTTCTTTAGGCTTCTAGTTTGAATCTGCAAGTTGCAGAGTTTTCAGGGCAAAAAAAAACAAAACAGCTTGTCACACAGCAAAAAGGGTAGAAAATTGGAAGCGGTGTCTCACAATATTCCATTATTCTGTTACTTATGTCCTGAATATATTTCTATAACCATATGATGCAATGGCAGTTTTTTTGTAGGTTGTTGTTTAGTCATTGTTTAGTCATTAAGTCGTGTCCGAAATGCAATGGCAATTTTTTTGGTAGGTTGTTGTTTAGTTGTTGTTTAGTCATTAAGTCATGTCCGACTCTTCGTGACCCCATGGACCAGAGCATGCCAGGCCCTCCCTGTCTTCCACTGCCTCCCAGAGTTGGGTCAAATTCATGTTGGTCGCTTCAATGACACCATCCAACCATCTCGCCCCCTGACGTCCCCTTCTCCTTTTGTAGGAGAAAGAGTTATTCTGTTTCATTCTCTTGTTTATGTTTCTGCCTTCAAAAGAAGGTGGGGAGGAGAATCTAGGCAACTACAGTCACAGCAGATGAAGAGAAATGAAAAAGAAATGCCTCTTTGAAAATTAATCTGTCAGTTAAAAAAGAAAGAGCTAGTATCTAGACTGCAGGACCTAGCAAGGGGAAATCTACTATGAAGCTATCTCACGTGTCAGGGAACCAAGAGTAGCAGACTGCACCACCATAGCAACTAGCAGCACCAGCATCATGGAAGGACCCTTGTTCCCTCTCTTCCTCAGCCTTTTGCTGAGGAAAAAAGGAATGTTAACACATTACTTCTACACTCCAGTTCTACAAGCTAAATATGAATACATCAGATGTAATGATAAATACCATACTTTTGTCAGACTACAACTGGCATTAATATTGTATCTAATTCTGGGTGCCACCATTTCAGAAGTACATCAACAAAACTAGGATGTCTGAGCACTTTTTTTGTAAGATATTGGAGTACAAATTAAATTAAATTAATTTTTTTTAAAAAAATGTATGCAGGCATAGATGTAGATAACAAAATATTTGGTATCCAGCTGGTTCAGTTTGTAAAATGGGAGAATTTGACTACACATCTGGAAGATTAGTATGGGCTGCTTGACAAGGGAATAGATGTCCCTGGATGCTGCATTTAGAGGGGATGCTTTCCAGAGTCTCTCGCAACACGTGTCCCGTAATGTTTGGTTTACTAGTCATTACCTTCTTTTGTGAACAGAGAAAAAAGGGTGATTGCTTTCCTGTAATTTATGCTCTTCAGGCGGCCATACATGCACTCACCCAAACTGCTCTGTTTCTCCACTGTTGCAGTTTTTCAAATGATATTTTGGTGCTTTCATGGTTGAGCAGAGGGAACTGGTATTTCCCCTTCCTTGCAGATGTCCTCTCTCTCTCCCCACCATTTAATTTACCCTTCATATTATCATGAAGGCTCCTGGCCAACTTTATTTATTTGTTTGTTTGTTTGTTTGTTTGTTTGTTTGTTTGTTTGTTT